TCCCATACAAAAAGTATTACCACTGAATTGGTCTGTCTGACTTATAAGCTATAATTAAGATTTCAGTCTGATATGGAGCAGCTTAAAATAGCATCACAGACCCTGTTGACTCTTGCCTAGTTGAAACAGAAACATAAATTTGAGGGAAGAAGGTGGAAATGATTATTTTCAATTCCTCTTTAATCATACTGATATAATATTTATGGGCACAAAAAATTAAGTAAAGTAAGTATCCCAAATTCTCTCCCTCTCCAAATCGCTTATACCTGATTTTGGCTGGGCAGAGATTTACTAACAAGGAGGTGAGGGTTTACTTCCAGGAAAAGCTATAAGATTGAGACAGAAGTTCAGGGCCGAGCAAGCACCAAACATAGGGAAGTACAGAGAGTGACCTGCTTGGGACCTAGAACTACATAGTATATGGAATAGCATAAGGATACTCTAGAAGACAAGCGCTTGACCAATAAAATGAAAATACCTGTTCAATTTAGAGAAGGAAGCACCATGGTAATATCTCTGAATTCATAAACCATACAATTCAATGCCTTGTTATAATGAAACATTCTTTTTTTTCCCAAGCAAATTTAGTCATGTAATCTTCTGAGTAGGCACTGTGTCCTACCCCAGTTTCTCCCATCCCATTTGAAGAATAATTAGAAAAGGATTTGGAAGTAAGAAACAGAACATTTCTTGAGTATTTACCTAATTCTAGGTCGATACTAGGTACACTTCATTTAATCCTAACTTAAAAAAATCAGAAATATCCATCATTTTACCAATTCACTCATATGGAAACTGAAGCTATGAGGTTCCCTACCGTAAATCCCACATAATGAAGCTGGGACTCAAACTCCCGCCTAATTTAAAAGTTTGTGCCCTTTTATGCTAACATGCCACTTTTCCTAAGTGACATGTTAGAGGTGACCTAGCCTGGGTCTTAGTGACAGAGGAAGAGGAGGAAGAAAGAGAAATAGCTGCTGGGAGATTTCTTCAGAGAAATCCTCTTGATTCATCAAAAACTAGAATTTTTCCCAGGCTTTAAAGCTGTTACAAATTATGACTATGTGTTAGAAGGTGGGAATGTGGCATTTTCTCTGACCAGGTTTTGAGGGAGAAATGTCTCCTGAGGATTTATAACATGGAGAACAAAAGAACTGTTCAGTTTCCAGAAGACAGAACTAGGGACTCAGAGACATTGGCAGCCTCAGCCTTGTGACAGTGGGTGAGGGTTTAATGGAGAGTGGGAATTCACTCAGGTGTGTTTCCTAGACACAGCTCTGGTCCCCAATCCATAAACCCCTGCTTTCCTATGTAATACCTTGCTGTCCTATGTGCCATTTGAAGCTTTATAGCCTATAAGGCTAGAACCCATGGTTTAGGGTCACAAAGAAAAAAGAAATGAGCACAGGCTATTCTCAATTACTTGTATCCATAAGAGAGTATCAATAAAGAGGAAGAGAAAGGAGTCTGCAGAAATTGGCACTTCGTGGACTGGTGTTAATGGTTTCCTGGAGAAGTGGAAGATGCAAGTAGAAATGGGATACATCTTGAGCCTAAGGGAATCAGGTGCTCCTGGATATTAAGAATATCATGACCAAAGGCTAATGCCTCCAAACATGAACTATTTCACCATTTGGAGATAGGGCATGTTTTAGATAAAGGTATGAAGACAGTGTAAGCATTTTGGACAAGAAAGAAACACTTCCCTTTATCACCTCAGGCTCTTAATCTGAGCAGAAAGATATTAAGTGGGGAATGGCAAAAACATCCTGTAAACTTCTCAGTCAAGCATGTTAAGCAGGGCTAAAGATTCTGTGCTGTGGGACTTCCCTGGTGGTTCAGTGGTTACGACTTGGTGCTTCCTATGCAGGGGTTACAGATTTGATCCCTGGTTGGGGAACAAAGGTCCCACATGCTGAGTGTAAGCATTAGTCGCTCAGTCATGTCTGACTCCTCGCGATCCCATGGACTGTAGCTCGCCAGGCTCCATTGTCCATGGAATTCCCCAGGCAAAATAGTGGAGTGGGTAGCCATTCCCTTCTCCAGCGGATCTTCCTGACACAACCAAAAAAATTTTTTAATTAAAAAAAAAAAAAGATGTTGTGCTGTGATCAGTGAAACAGGCATATACCGGGAGTCACAGCACTCTTGAGTTAAGAGACCCAACTGTTTCTTGCTCAGATCACTCCTTTCTATGTTTATTTATTCAGCTATAAAATAAAAGGGTTAAAACAAATGTTGCAGTGAGGCTCCCTCTGCCTCTTAAAATTCAAGTGCTGGCTGATTTTCACGAGTGTTAATGTGTTTGAGGGAATGGTGGCACACATTCTGCCATCTAGTGGTCATATTTCAGGGTTTGTCCCACTGCTCAGCTTCTCAGGATGGCTCCATTTGGAGAATTGAGATTTTATTCCTGGATCCTGATGTCAGCAGTTGCAATAGAGGAGAGAAGGACATGAGCTCCCTGCTTAGAGAAGGAACGAGTGGCCACCTGGTTGTCAAGTGAGAGACTGTCAATCTTGAGTCTCAGGACCTCTCTGGGGACATCCATGAATGTATAACTTCTACCAAGTTAACATAAGAGGTTTTCTCCTGGTAAGCCAGGCAAACTATACACGGAAATGGTCAGATTAGGAAAATTACTGTTGGAATACGCAGGTGAGGAAAGAAAAGTGATCTGATGCGGTGCTGATTAGTGGATCCAAGGTTTCTGGTCACTTAGCAGAGTGCAATGGTTAAGAAGCACGGAATGAAATATAACTGAATCTGTATGAGAGCAACCCTGGCCTTCAGAGTTTAGGGAAGGGCTTGCATTCTGCCAACTTAGGGTAGGATCCAAGATCTAAAGCCTGTGAAACCAGAAGGCAGTCAAAAAAAAGGTATTTGAGCAGCCAGTTGTGTACCGGGGAATAGATATGGAACCTCTATCAATGTGGACAAGATAGTTTCGATTCTGAACCCTTCAGGGACAGATAAAAAGAAATAACCTATACAGAGAGTGGGTAAGACCTTCCTACCCTGGTGAACAGCGGGAAACCCAACCTGAAATGGGTAGAAATGTGTAGTGTATGCACTTCTAGCAGTTGAGTTTGCGCTTCTCATTAACGTTTCTCACTAAACAAGGTGGATTTTGCCCAGGAACACTAATAATACCTGTTAAAATTTTTCGATCATGAAAAAGAGAAGTTAAGGTTCAGCTATTTAGAATTTGGGTATAATTTCTATGGGCTGATTCTCTAGCAAAGAGAAAGCTGATTACAATCACCTGTCATCTGGGGACAAGTTTACTGGTAACCCTAAAAACTTAATTATGTTATTTATGAGTAGACCCAATGACAATGCACTGAAAGTTCATCCTAAGAGAGGAAGAACACTGGTTATTATGTATCAAAAAAAGTTTTTGTTATTTTTTAATTTGGAGTGGTGTGGTCATAGGTTGTGGCTTTCCTCAACTTTGCTTTAGGAAAACTTTCAGCCCATTCTCTCTTCTGGTTTCCATCTATGATATTACTATTATTCTTTAGTTTTAGAGGAAAATCTGCCAGTTTGGTCCAGAAAGTAGCCTTAAGCAGCCTAGATAAAATATAAGATGGCTTCCTATCCTGGACAAAGAAAAAACAGCATGCTTCCGGTGCCTGATATCCCTTTACCTGTCACCGAGAATATGCAATCAAAGTGACTCATGAAGAGATGAGGAGACACAGCCATCTCAGGCCACTCAGAGATGTATCTTCAAGGGAGAAGAAACCAAGGGTTTCAGAGTGGGCGGTACATGATAAAGCAGGGATGTCTCAGTTCTTGCCCTCGCCCGCAATGTTCAATAGATAGGACAACTGGGAATGGATACAAACTTTACAAACTCGATGATCTCAGGTGGGCAAGCTGCCAGGTTTGCCACTTATGTGCATTTTGGAGTCCTAATGTAGTGTTGGAAGAGGAGGGGAACAGGCAGGCTTACATATCATGGAAATTGGTTCATAGGCCATAAGTGAAAGATATGGAACTGTAATTGATGGATAAATACAGTGAGGAGTACATTTAGAAAAAGTAGAGGTATTTCTATTAATATTTTAGGGTTAACATTTAAATTGGGATTTATAAGGATTATAAATTCAGAAAATATTAAGTGACCATGAATCACTCATATTTTACCTACTGATTGAGAATGAAATAAGGAAAATAAGTTTTATGAAATCATAGCCCTTTAGAAATCATGTCTGGTAGCATAGTCTCACTTGAATGATTTGTCAAACAAGTACTATCAGGTCAATGAAAATATTCTCACAATGGCCGGAAATTGAAGCATCACACACACATAAGCTTTCTTTTCACTTCAAATATGAAAATAGAAGGTGTATGGAAATTTACATATCTTTGACAAGACTAGAAATAAACTGTCATTTTCTTATATGATGCCCTGTGCTCTAAATCAATTCCACACCAGGTTGCTTGTAAAAGGTACTGCCTCACATCTTTTCTTGACATCACCTGAAATCTGACCACTTGATTATTAACTCAGCCTCCACAACCTTAATAGTAGCCCTAATATACAGGCTTAAAAGAGTTATTCCTTTTTACTAGTGTATGCCCTTCCTTAGTTGCACCTGGTAAGCCCACCTTCCAATACAAACATTGAACTTTCTGAAAGCACTTATAGAACATATCATATTCTATAAAAGGAACATTCTTCAAAGAGTGAGGGGGTTTCCCTCAAAGGAACTGGGTTGCTTACCAAAGGGAGGGGGGAAAGAGGCAGACATCTGTCTCACTCATTTCTGCCTCTCCACTGTAACCTAGTATTGTACTTGGCACATGGAGACTCTAATAAATATCAGATGAGAGAATTATAGCAGATGGCTCAGGAGTTAGGACTCTCTGTATCTTCAAACTTCTCATATTTCTTTGGTTCCTACTTATGTTTGACATGTATCTTTTTTTAAACAGTTATCTCTCTTTTGTGCAGGAGGGGAATTCTATTAATACCATTAAGACCTACTATCTCAGTACAATTGGATAACTTCATCCCACTCAGAAATAGGCCAGACTCCATTGGGCCACACGTTGGGGGGAGAACGCTTCCAGTCCCATGTCTTTATAGGAATCTTCCAGGTCTTACCATAGTTGGCTTCAATGTATTCAACAGTTTCACAGGGCACACGAAACTTTGTGTCTACAAACTCAGTCCAGCACAGTGTAAACTTGGGAAACAGGTATCTGTGGCAAAACAGGCAATGTGGAGAGGAGTTAGGCTCCAACACTGGAAGTTTAGCTAAGGAACTCACAGCTAGTGTACCCTGGGCCAAAGGACAGTCCTCTTCCACTAAACAGCTTTGGGGAACAGATACAGGGGACATTTTGTTGTTAACTGTCCAGCATCTCCTTTCTTTTCTAACGTTAACTGTATCCCAATTTCACTCCCCTAGTCCCAGTCCAGAGAAGGCAATGGCAACTCACTCCAGTACGCTTGCCTGGAAAATTCCATGGACAGAGGAGCCTGGTAGGCTGCAGTCCATGGGTTCGATAAGGGTCTGACACGACTAAGCGACTTCACTTTCGCTTTTCACTGTCATGCATTGGAGAAGGAAATGGCAACCCACTCCACTGTTCTTGCCTGGAGAATCCCAGGGGTGGAGGAGCCTGGTGGGCTGCCGTCTGTGGGGTCGCACAGAATCGGACACAACTGAAGTGACTTAGCAGCGGCAGCAGCAGTCCCAGTCCATATGGTCCAAAAGTGGCTGACTCCACTCCTAGGCTCCAGAGATGGGTAAAAAAGACTCAGACCTAGCCAGTAAATTATAGTCACTAGGTTAGGGAAGGGAATTTATACAAATTAGGCAAATGGAAGTCAGTCTTGGAATTTCTGTTGGAACTATCGGGGGAAAAAGTGTTCTTGTGCAGAGGTTTCTAAGCTGTGGGATGGAAACTGAGAACTGCTGGTGGCCATCTTTGCTGTTAGCAGGGAGCGCCTGTCTGAGACTGCTGCTGCTGCCGCTGCTAAGTCACTTCAGTCGTGGCTGACTCTGTGCAACCCCAGAGACGGCACCCACCAGGTTCCCACGTCCCTGGGATTCTCCAGGCAAAAACACTGGAGTGGGTCTCCATTTCCTTCTCCAATGTATCAAAGTGAAAAGTGAAGTCGCTCAGTCATGTCCAACCCTTAGCAATCCCATGGACTGCAGCCCACCAGGCGCCTCTGTCCATGGGATTTTTCAGGCAAGAGAATTGGAGTGGGGTCTGAGACTGCAGTTAAAGCAAAAAGTTGCCAAAAGATGGAGGCAAATGATAAGAGTCTAGAAAACCCTGGGGACGTGTTTGGGTTTGGCCGTGACAATTCCTTAAATACATAAATATATAAATGTTATTTTTTAATACATTTCTAGTATTTGAAATTTGTATACATTGAGGGAGGCATGTATAGCAAGTGAGAGAGGAAACAAAAGCTTCCTACTTAGCCAGAGAACCTAACTCAATCCTGGCAATATATGACATTTTCCAACAATAGCATCTCAAATACTTGTGTCTTTGTGACAGGTCAAGTTAAATTTCTCTGTCCTGGGTTTCACTGTGGTCCTAAATGGCTTTTGATAACGCTAGATAGCTAAAGAAGAAATTCCCAGGTTCAGTCAGAGTATTTCTTAAATTCTTTTTCTAACTTGTACAGTAGTGAGAATTTCATACTACAATATGTGAACATGGTAAGACCCAATATATGTTGACTTTTTAAGCAAAAAGCTTCACCCCACCGACCCTCCTCAGATGCAGGAATAGAGATCCTATGCTTGGATGTTCTGTATCTCAACAATAATTCTCTGAAAAAAAAAAAAGTTATACAAACCACCTTCTTCCTGCTCTGCCTTTTATCACCTGCCCTTTTTAATTTCTATTCTTAGTCTCAAACTTTTTTCTTTCTTATTTTTAATAGGTTGCACATCATTAAATCTCTATCAAATTCAAACTGCTACTAAAAGAACCTAAAGAACACTAAAATAAGCAGCATCTGTATAAGGTGAATCTTCTCTTCCTTCACAGCATGGACTTTTCAGGGAAAAAAAGGCATGACTCTAAGATGCTCTCCCAGGCTTCCTTGCTTCCATTCCTCACAAGAACCCACTCTCCCCCGCCTCCTTTTTTTCCTTTCATTCTTTCATCTCAAATGCAAAAGAACCTCTCTAAGCTAGCCCAAGGAATATGCTATAATGCATTTAACTCAACTCATAGCAGAATTATTTCAATTAGTAAGTTTTGTTACTAAAACACATTTCTTAAAGGTATTTTGGATTAGTAAAAAGCTCTATATTACAAAGGGAACTAGCAGGTTTGTTAGATTTACATTTATATAGCTTATATTATAGACTGTGTCATTGCTTTCTGAGAAATATTTCTGTGTTGTTGCTTTCTGAGGAATACTTCTGTGTTGTTGCTTTTTGAGAAATATTTCTTTCCTTCACAACATGGTAAGAACCTTTAGTAATAAGATTTGAAGTAGCATAGCAGAGATGAAAGAAATTTAAAATATCAGAGGATTAAATAAAAAAAGGAACAGAGAAAAAACAGATTCAAAGTGTAATCATATTATAGAAAAAGGGATCTAACGGGGATGTTCTTCAAGGAAAGGTCAGTTCTCATATATTTTGCTTCTCAATATCATGTTTTACTACCGTATAAACTTAAAGCCACAGATGAGAATGACAGGCTGAGCAATTCTAAAGAAAGCAACAAGTCCCTTCTACCCGGCCAATAGGTGCAGGCAGTTAATAGACAATCCCAGCTGGCTTCTATGAAAAGAAGGCCACAGCAAATTTCAGGGCTGAGGAAGAAACAGGATACAGCACAGTTCCACCATCTGCTGGTCCCAATTTTACTCTGCACACTCATATTCATGGAATTGCTTATTTTGCCATGAGATATAACCATCCATCATCAGCCTCTACCGTCCCCAGTCGGATGCTGGTCAGCAGAATGTCCACCTGTCCCTCTTACCAAGTTGACACATTGAAGCTGAAATGAGGCAGAATTCATGGTCTATCAGGTAAAACAGGCCAGGAAACTCCTCTCTCAAATTCTATCCTCTACAGTTTTAGGAAAGAGGTACAAGAATGAAAAGAATGAAGAAACATCCCATTTAGATCCCTGGCGTGCTGCAGTCCACAGGGTTGCAGAGTCAGACATGACTGACTGACTGAACTGAACTGAACTGAAAAGAATGAAAACCCAGGATGACAGGGTGGGTGAGAATGCTACAAATTTTATAAAAGCTTTCATAAAATAAAATGTTCAAAGCTTTCACTGAACAATGAAAGATTTACAAACAAAAACAAAACATTTAAAATATATAAAGAATCTTAAAATTATTCAAAGACAATTTAACTCAAATGTTAATTTTTGTTCCTAAATAGAAATATCCCTAAAACTGTGGTTTTCTTTTCGCCAGATAATTTTTAAGCCTTTCAGCAAAAAGAAAACTCCAGCTTCCTAGGAAAAGAGGGAAGGTAAACAAACCATAAAGATAAAAACTGGCTGTAAAATGGGATTGTGGAGAGGAAGCTGTGGGGGTGGGGAGGTAAGTGACTCAGAACAGCACACTCTGTCCAGGTTACCAGTGAATAATAACCAAGACTATAATATAGTCAATGTTATTTTAGCTTTTTAAGCCCAGATTAAGTTCTCCTAAGCAGTTTTTACTTTAAAGCCCGGAGATAGGATCCAAAATGTGAACAGATTTAATTCAGACTAAGCAAGCCCCAATCAGAATGTAAGTTCAAGGGATCTTATCACACACAAAAAATCCATTTATTTTCTATTTCATACTGCTTTTACTTCATTTTAGTTTTGCAAAAAACAGTAGTTAGAATTTAGTTGGAATAGATCATTTTTTCCCTCACAGACATCTTTAAAATCTATAAAACTACTTATTGGTGACTGGATAAACTAATTTCATCAATTATACAACCTATAAACGTAATAACTAAGTGACAAACACTGTTTTTACTGTTGTTAGTTAGCTAGGCTAAGTGAGAAAGAGAGACACCATCTATTACAACTGAATCTGATCTTTCTAAACTTAAGTTTGCATTAAACTCTAGAGTTAAAATAGCAAAGCCATTTTTTAAAACTTGAATTTCTTGCAAAACAATACTAGTTTATTCTCATTACCAATTCTGTCTCCACTTTTAATGTCTTTTTCTTGTGTAACTGCAGTGCCTAAGCCCTCCAGCATACTGCTTAATAAATAAGACAGCACATGCTTCTTACGTTTTACTTCTGATTTTAAGAGAAGGGCTTTAGAAGCCCTTCTCTTAAAAAAAAAAAAAAACCTAGAGCCTGTTATACAAAGTGAAGTAAGTCAGAAAGAAACAAATATTGTGTATTAATGAATATATAGAGAATCTAGAAAAATCGTACTGATGAACCTATTTGGAGGAAAGGAATGGAGACACAGATGTAGGGAACAGACTTGCGGACACAACGGGGGAAGGAGAGGGTGGGATGAATGGAGGAAGTAGCCAATGGCATATATACACTATCGTGTAAAATAGATAGCGGGTGAGCAGTTGCGATGTAACACAGGGAGCCCAGTCTGGCACTCTGATGACCTAGAGGGGTGGGGTGATGGGAGAGGGCAGGCTCAGGAGGGAGGGGATATATGTATAATTATGCTGATTCACACTGTTGTATGACAGAAACCAACACAGTATTGTAAAGCAATTTCCCTTCAATTAAAAAATTAATTTAATAAAAAATTAATTAATGATTAAGTAAAGAGACAAATGCTTCTGAAGTTTTACCATTAAATAAGATTGCTCACTTTAGGTCTTTGGTATATTCCCTTTACCAAATTTAAAGAAATTTCAGATCCCTTTTATTCCAAGTTTACTAAAAGGTCTTCTGTTATTGTTAATTATGAAATATATCAAATGTTTTTAATGTCATCTATTGAAATAATCATGTACTTTTTTATTCCTTTAATCTTCAAGTGTTGAGAATTACACTAATACACACACACTACAAAATTCTATTCTTTTGCATTTCATTTAGGATATTTCCCTCTGTGTTCACTAAGACAGTAATTTCCCTTAAAATTTTTGCTATTAGTCAAAATGAATGCATTAAAGTAAGTTTTTTTTCCCCCCAAAATAAGTTATTTAATATAGGGAATAATCTATACCATGAAGGCACTGCAAAAGTTTCCTATAGATTTTCTAAGTCTTTGGTAG